CCATTTCTTCAAACTGCACCATGAAAAAGTTGGCAATGACCGGGGTGACTAACCCACGGCCACGCTATTAGTCTGCTCATACAATTAGCTGTAGAAGATGAAGATGGAAGAGGTTAGAACATGGCAGAAGAATATCAAGGTATCTTCATAGGAAAGACAGGTCAACAGGCACAGGGCCTCCAAAATTAGCACCTTCTTAAAGAGCAAAATGACATCAAAACTGAGCGGGATGTCCCCAGGACCAGCATGAAGACTTGATGGAGTGTATGAACTCCACTCAATGGAGTTGTGGTCTGTCCTCCCATTATTTTTCCTGCTCTCACTTGATCCTCACCCTCTTCCCACTGTTCAACTCATGTTTCTACCTTGTTCCCACCCATATCTCAAACAATTCCTTGGATTTCCCATTTTACTGTCGATGGAGGCAGCAGGCACCTCCGAAACGTTGGTATACTTCTACCAAACTACATGACACAACATCCCAGAAGACAGGCATCTTCACACCTCAACACAAGTCACAACATAACCTATTAATAAAGGAAACATAAGACAAACTAGAAATGTATACAAAGTTTTTATAGAAAAACCTAATTGAAAGTGGATATTACCATTATGGAAGTAGGTTGTGGTGATGGGATTGGATTTAGCTAACCAATACTATGACAGTGAAGTTTTTGGCAGTAGTACATAGTTGATTTAACAGTTTGCAGGAGTTGAAGCAATCAACACAGCAATCATTGATCAGTGGCCATCTCTACGCAGTCATAAACACTGGGTGGTAGCAGGCACGTGCGCAGCGTGCTTTGTTCTTGCTTTACCCATGTGCTGCAGTGGTGGTGTGTACCTCTTCACAGTCTTGGACTGGAACACTGCATCCTGGGCTATACTCATGATTGGATTTGCTGAAGTGGCTCTTGTTGCATGGGTATACGGTGCGTGTCAAGTATTACTGACGATGGAAACTATAAGAAATTGTCCAGTTTTACTGAACTTTGCATTTAAAGCAAGAATGATACTTACACAAACTTAAATTTATTGGCAGATGCCCTATCTATTTTATTTTTGTTTCCTCAAATAATGTTCAAAAGTCAGGATCTTAAATCTTGAAGGTTTGTATTCTTGACAAGTTTGTGTCTCATAACCTCAAAAATTACAAAATTTCTTTAAGTGATTTAAGTACTTTATTTATATCAGTTTTTGTAGATAAATTGCCCAAACATATTTATTTTATTTGTAACTTTCATATTTCAGGTATCAGGCGCTTCCTTGATAATGTATCAGAAATGGGCATGCATCTTTCCAAGGTCACAAGAGTCTATTGGATCATTTCTTTGACAGTGATGGCCCCTGTCTTCATAATTGTGAGTTCTCTTTTGTTTATATCTTATAAATGGAGAAAAAAATTTCGTTATCATTATTTACTTTGTGCAGTATTTTGCATGATCCCCAGAAAGACACTATAAGCATTTCAATCATATTTTATGCTTGTTATACCTCTTAATATATTGGATTCTTTATCTCAACACCACAATTAAATGTGTAAACTTTTATTAACTGAGATATACAAATGTAAATACTAAAATGTAATAAATCAGTTACCTGTTGTTTATGTCGACACCAACGCTGCTCATAAATGTTTTTCTGAACTGAAATAATCAGAGAAGACACAAGTTGTGCTCTCTTTTGTGAAGTGTTGGCTTTTTTTGCATTATGATTCAAGAACGGATATATTTCTCACTTTATAAAAGTTCAGGATAGGCATTATATTAATAACTACAGCTATGGAAAATTTCTGCAATTTTTTTCTATAAATATAAGGAACAAACAACCCTTCTGCTTTACTTTTAATTGGCTTTGACCAAGGAAGAGATGAAAGGATAAGATTAAAAATGTGGTTAGAGAAATACATCATCATCATCATCTTTCTTGAGATTTCTTGGAGTGGTTGGTAGTCCCCTGGATTGGTTACCAGTCAGTCGCAGGGCAAGTCCAGTTGCCGCGTTACAGACTCTAGACAGGCGTTATGAGGTGGTATATCCCCAACCTCGATGGAACGTTTATACCGTCAAGACTCGGTCGCCGTTACCTCGTTAGTGGGAACAGGGTGCACCACGTGAAGCTGAGGATGGCAATTAGATAGGAGAGGCTATGAGTTGCCCATCACTACCCCTTACTACCCCTAGAAAAATACATTATGGCAGCATAAAATGGATGGAGTCGAGTGGAATACTTATGCAATGAGAGTGATGGACATTTAATTCCATAAATATAACAGAATTCAGGAAGACTCTTTGCCATGGGTTGTTTGGTTGATTTTTTGGTTCGTTAGTTACTCCCCAGTCTCTGTCTCGGTCCATCAAGTGGTATCTCCATGAGATTTTTAACCAAAATTCTAAAGATTTTTTTTTACTAGTGCCTGCTTTATACCAAGTCACTGAAGCTTCTCAGTTTGTAATTCTGCATTTCTTTTATGCTCTTAATTGGTATTATTCCTGTCTTTCTCTCCCTGCAGGGGGTGTTGATATTCACTCTCACCAAATTCAGTGCTGCTTATTATGACAAATATACATTCCCTGAATGGGTGGATGGCCTTGGCTGGCTTATTAGTATTGTGTCTATTTTACCGCTGCCAACATTTGCCCTGTATCAACTGTTCAAAGCCAATGAGGTAAGCACACATAATTAGTAGTAGTAGCTAAATATTTTTGGCATGTATGGGATTACCCTTATGGACAAGAACTATGGTGTAAATTCCCTCATCAGTTTATCAGCTTTCTCTTACATGGATTTTTAAATCATCATTAGTTTCAAGACAAATAAAAATGAAATTTCTCAAAACACTTTAAGGACTTGTATTATTATATGGCTCTAAATCATGTATTAAAGGTCACATTAACAAGTTTAGAGAAAGAAACAACGGGTTGAATAAAGTAAAATAAGAGTTATAAGACCTAGGTTTGGGTAATATTTGAAAAAATGGTGGAAAGATTATTACAAATGTATGGAGAGAAGTAAGATATTGAGAGACAGAGTATGGAAGCAACTATGAGAGAGTTAAGATCACTGGTAATGTACAGTGAATTGAAGAGTATTGTGGGAAGGAATTGCACATAGAAATATGTGAAGCAATCGATAAAACCACAACGTTTTGGAGATGGGAGTCTATCTCCGTCTTCATGTAAAATGTACTCTGTTGGGCACAATCGATAAAGCAAATCCCTATCTCCAGACTTTCAGATTTGAGATAGAAATATGTACCCGTGAGGCTAGGATAAGTATAGGATGGTGGTAGATATTTGAAGATTAAAGAGTGCAAGGGAAATATTGATCAGTGGATGTGTCCTACATGCAGTAAAGAGGAACAATGGAGTCACATTTTAAAGTGCAAGGGAACTAGAAGTTGAAGAGATAATTTGATAGACAAAAGGATTTAGAAGTAATGATCCATAAAATGAAATTAGAGAGATATTTTCAAGTAAAAATAAGACAAACTACAGAAAATTGCACTTTATTTGAGCAAATATAAAAATAAATAGAAAAGTTTAGTTGAGAAGTATGAGGATAAAACAGTCACAAATTATGGTGGTAACAAAGATGGGAGAAAGTATATTTAGTCTCTAAATAGACACGCAGATAGTTAAAGAAGTGTAAAGATGAATAGAAATTTAGGCAGGAGCCAGGGAGGCATGTTCAGCACTGCAGATTGTAAGTACTAATGGACTTAATAAGTACCAATGTCAGTGTCAGTATTATACATATTTTATTTATTTATTTATTATTAACTGCAAATGGGTTTATGCCAGGTGGAAATGGTGCTACAATAAGACACAACAAAACAATGAGGCACGACAAAACAATAAGACAGAACAAAACAACACACATAACACAAAATTACACATCACACTCAAAATAAAACAACTCATAAGATTACAAAATCATAAGGCACAAATATTTAAACGCAACAGATAACCTAAAGTAGATAAATTATGCACCATGAGAAGAACCAATAAACAGATGAGAGAGAAAAAAACTTAGCTGAAATGTGTTTTAGAAGACAGCTCGCATACTTTTGATTCACAAAATAAAAAGAGTTTTACTTCATGCTTCCGTATTTTATTACACCCATAGGTTGGATGGGAACTACTGCAACCCAGCAAATTGTGGGGCCCAGCATCATCAGTGACCCTGATACCCCCCTCCTTTGGAGCCTGTGAGAGCAATAATAAACCATATAATGGCTATAATAACAATGAGAAACCATCCAATGCATATGAGAGCGTTAATAGCTCTGCAGGGGCTGGTGGTGTAGTTGTGAGGACAGAACCAGATCTTGTTGACAATAAACAGACAGAAGTTAGTGCATATGAAAACATTGCCTTCCAGTTTGAGAGAGGTAAGAATGCATCTCCACCTAAAAACCAGAAAATAACTTGATAATATTTTGTGTTCTGCAATGGACATTATTTGTTCAGCTGGGTAAGACCATCTTATGATGAATACAGCTGGCAGTATTGCTGTAGGTACAGCCACATCCACACTCAAGAGTTTCACTCCAAATTAACTTGTCTATCATTCTTTGTTGAGTATGTGAGGCAATTATCATGTGATTTATGATCTAGGCTGCCATATTGCTTGCTTTCATCTTCTACTCCACATGCTGTCTCCTTCAAACTGACAGTATAATGTAAGAAACAGAATAATTTAATTTTGTACTGTACAGAAACACCAAAGGTTGGTGTTGCAGTATTACTCTTGAAACGTAATGATTATGGACTTATGAGTCGTCATACCGTGTAGTTTTTTTAGGAGATTAGCAGTGTTTCAGAGAAACTGATCATCTTCATGTTCAAGGTAAGGTACTTTCGAGATGGAGGCAATACATTCATCCAAAACATTAACATCCTGAAAATGAGAGCAATGCATTATTCTGAAATGTTTGCAACCACTTACAATACCCAGAAGACCAGAGTCAACATCACCACAAAGAGAATTTCATATCTAGAGACAAGTATTTGGAACACACTCATTTTGAATCTTGACCAGGTTATAGAAGGTTTTAATCATTTTCCTCAGTCTCTCCAGGTGGATGTTGGCATAGTACCATGACTGCCTCCTTACAAATTACTACCCACAGTTCATTATCATTTTCACATTACATAGTCACTCCAAGTAAAGTGCTATAATTAAATAACCTAAGGATTGATAATTTTGTGTAAAAGCTTAAAACAAACATTGGAAAATAAATGTTAATTGTCAAGAGCATAATAAAGATATAAATATTATTTCTTTCATGATGCAGTTTGTTTTTATAAGAAGCTTCTTTGGGGTTTTGCTCTTATGTAATTTACATTTGTGTAATAGTTCCTGATTGTAAAAATAAAATAAAAACTTGAAATGCTTGTAACTTCTTAACTGGTAGCGACTGTATTTGAAGCGATCAGCGAAAGATGCTCTTTCGAGATCATTTCCAAGAATTTTGTTCATTGTTATGTTTCTTCTGGACACCCCCAAATTTTGAAGAATACTGAGAATGTATTAACGTGTTTATGCCAGTTTATTCTTCTCAGAGTGTAGTGAAGCATTATTTAAAGAATGGAATTTTCATATTTTTTACCTTCTTAAAAACTATTTCGTCATATGATGCATAAATATTGATAATGAAACATTAAACTGCAACACATTGTTTTCTGTCGCATTCATGATAAGTGCACTGAGTAAAATGAGTGACTTGCACACGTGTGTCATCTTCCGGACAATTATGGAACGCTACCTGTATTCATTTACTTATTATTGGCTCTAATTATTTGAATTCAGTTTTAATAACTAAATAATGTATAGAGTATTTATACATTGTTTAATAATAAAACATCTGCCTAGCCAGCTGAGGTCAGCAGTGCGTAAATAAAAAATGAATAAATTAAATCAATTAAATGTTAACTGCTATGCAGAACAAAGTACCCTAGAATTTAACTGGAAATAATGGTTATTATATAATAAAGATAGACTTCTTAGATAATAAGAATGTTGGCTGAATGTGTGGAACATGTTATTTTGAAAGTTGCTTACTTTACAGATTTCAAGATTTAAATTTATGAAATTTACATAGTTGACATGTGTTTTATTGACAGGAGTTTGGTACTCCCCAAGTGGCAAGCTATTATGAGCACAATTATAATCATCACGTTCCATAAGAGGCAGGATATTTTGTGACTAACTGAGTGTATGTTAGTTTGTCAGAGAGATTCTGTTGCATGAAGTTAGTAGCTGATTTGTTATGTAGTTAAATAGTTACTTAGTGAATGATACAATTATTTTGATGTTTTTTAGTTGTCAGATCTTAGTTCATTGCTGCAGGAAGGTAAGGATGACATCAGATAGTACAGCCAGTCAGTACACGTGTTATGTGTATTTGTTTTCTATGAGAAAAGAAATTAAATAATGACAACTGAAAATTTTACCCATGTCGTAATTCATTTCCCATGTTAAAAAATCTGGACTGAGTATGTTGAAAGAATAAACTCTGTTAAAATCCCAAAAATTTATTATTTATCCACCCAGAGAAAGAAGATACTTAAGAAGTTTCATGGATTGAACCTTTCATATCTCCCTTAAGCCATTACACTTACCTCCTCCAGCATATTAGAATATATTCTTCTCCAGACATCTAGCCATTTTGTTACAGAAATTTTGATCGTGATAAACTTTGCTGTCATCAAGTGTATGGGGCTGACTGACATTGGCTGGAGGGGGCCTGAGGGGAAGCCTTGAATGTTGTCATCTCATTATCCATTGGACTTCTTCCCATGGCCAAATGAAATGTTTGTGTATCTTACAAAAAGAGTTTAGTAAACAGAAAGTTTTATAACAGTATTTTATCTTTTTTATTAAATCTGATCTGGGGTCCGCGCGGTCTGAGGCGTGGGTCTTGTGCCACTTGGTCGCAGGGACCGTGGGTTCGAATCCCACTCAAGCCATGAATGTTTTTCTTTGTTGTGTTGTCCTGTGTGCAGGTAGAGGCCTTGCGATGGGCCGATCCCTCATCCAAGGAGTCCTACCGAATGTCCATAGATCAAGCCAACTGAAAAGTTGGGGACCTATAAAGGGTACCGGAAAATGTACAAACATTGTTAAACCGGAAAAAGAAGAAGATATTTTGAATTTGTCTTTAATTCCAATGATGAGATACGAACTGTTTAGTTCTGTCTTTATGTGTTTGTAGACCATCCTTCTTACATGCCTGTAATAAAGTTTCTGTATGTCTCTATATTTTTTGTCAAACATATCAACATAATTAACATTTACAAGTTAACACAGATTTCAGGACTGATTATACTGGCACTTTCACCTCAGATATTTGTATTAATGAAGTTAGGGAATAAAAAAATATAAAGGCTATGTGGTCTCTGATGACATAATATTTGAAGGAAGTTTCATGAAAATCTGTCAATTCAAAACAAAAATACGCATGAACATGATGCCATAAGTCTATACCTCCTGAAGTAAGGAATGTATGCAAGTGAGAAATTTTGGGAATAACTTACGCTTTCTTCTTTCTTCCAGGTGCTTCCTGATAAGATTGTCTAGATCTACAAATTAATGATTTTACAGTTTATTAATTTATTTCTGTATGCTTTCACTGGTACATATTCTGATTATGTTAACCCTTTTGTTGTGCATTTTTTTCTCATCACATTCCTTAAATAATGTAATTTGAAAGTAAAAATATGAAAAATGATCAATATTTCTTTTCAAATAAAAAACAACGTATTTGTGCAACTTCAAATACTTGAAACTAGGTGGTAGTACCATGGAGACCAACAACAATGCATTTTCGTAGCTCAGTGAATGAAGTTGAATGTTGCAGGGAAAGGAGAAGATTATTTCTTGATGTGGACTAAAGTCAAATGTCATTATACAGTAATGGATGCTTGTTTGACTTAAGTCAAATATTGCAGAAGTAGGGTTAAGTGTGCCAGTAAGCATGATACCACAAGCCTCCATATAAAGTAAGGACATTTGACCAATAATGCAACCCAACATGGAATATAGACCATTATTTTTTTGTCTGAAACATTGTTTCGTTGGTGCATGTGCACACGAACAATCATTTATCATCAGCAGTTTGCCACTTAGGCCACTTGGATCAATGTACGTTATTAACTCAAATGTTAATATAGTTTAGGTGTGTTGGCAGTATGCACTCATGCATATGCTTGAATTTTTATCTATATGGTACGAGTCATTCACAGAACATATTTGTAAATGAGCGTTTTCAATGCCTTAAGATGCGAACAGAAGCCGCTTTCGGTTGCAGCCTTGCAGTTATGCTATTCCTTCAATGAAGAGGTGTCCCGGTTGAGGAGAACGTAGTTTGTTGGCGCACGGAGAAGAACACATTGCAGATAAAGCTTGCGAGACGGGACGCTCTTACGCGAGGAGATGCCAAACAGTACGAAAATTGTATCCAGCCATTCAGGTAAATCAGCATTTAACATATTTACGTTCATTTATACGAAGTGTTAACTCTTATCTTCGTATTTCATTATGACAGCTATTAATATTCATAAATATGTTATGATAACAGTTTTGTAAAACATTTATTTTAGTAACGTTTCAAAGGTCGTTGCTTCTACCAGACTACACGGCGCAACAACCCAGAAGGCAGCCATCTTCATTTATTTTAGTATTTAGTGTTTTTAGTTAAAAATTATTTCAAAATGCACAGTAATAACATCGGTTCAATTGATGCTGGAAACCCTCATATATTTGACGACGTTAAAATGTATTAGAATTTGGCAGTTTTATTTTACATTTTGTTGTCGTGGGGCCCTTAAGGTAAACAAGGCACTGACTTGTATTAGGCTTCTCAAGTGCAACCCCCAAAGGGTTAAAAACGCGTTCATATTTTGTGGACAGGATCTGACTAGTATCTTCCACCCAAATTTTTACAGAATTATACATATTTTTTTGTAGTTGAAATACAGCACTTCACGGTCTGAGGCGTGCGTCTCGTACGCTTGGATACTGGGACCATGGGTTCGAATTCCACTCAAGGTATGGGTGTCTTTCTGTGTTGTGCTGTCCTGTGTACAGGTAGAGGCCTTGCGACGGGCCGATCCCTCATCCAAGGAGTCCTACCAAATGTCTAATAGATCGAGAAATCTCCAAAAAGGAGGCACCTGTACTCCACAAGGAGTGTAAAGGACACAAAAAGTTCGTTTTATAGTCAAGGCCTCGATATCAGTAAATCATTAGGATTGAACTACGTAACATTTACGTAATGAGAGCAATTTTTCTGTTGTAACAGTTTCGATCCTTTTGTGTCAACGTCCGCCAATCAGCACACTATTCACGATAACTTATTGCAAGTAATTGTATATGCGACGACTGAAAGCGTTTCATAAGTAACAAAGTCTGTGTCTGTTCGCGGGACATGATCTCCGCGGCGAGACCAGGGCATTAGTTGCTGGCATCTTGTGAATATGATGTTTGACGCAAAGTGTTTTATAACTTACCCCCTTTACATTAGGAAAAAAAAATGACACAGGCAGAAAAGAATATATATTTTTATTTCAAGGCCTGGTAGCTGAAAGAACATCTTATATGAATTCATTTCTTTGCTGTCTGGATATTTGTCGGAGACCTCAGCTAAAATCCACATACGAAAGCCCGGACAGATGCTAAATAATTCGAAATTTTGTAAAACTTTAAGGAGATTTAATTTGGTAGTTGAAAACAGCACAGTTATGATCATTGGTATGTGGTTAATAAATAATGCGATCATCAAAGTTACAACATCTACTGAAGATGTCCAAAATTTAAAGAAAAAAAGTTCGTCGTCTAATGTTGGTGTTAATCACCTGCTCGACACTCACGGCGAGACAGATGACTCACGACACCCATCATAAATAGAACTTACGGGCACAGAACGCAAGGTTTTGGCCTTTCTTCTCTTTTCTTTGCTTATTAAAGTGACGGACACGAATGAAGATTGCTCAGAGAGAGAGCGAGAGAAAGGTACAAATAAAAATGGCATCTGCTTTCAGCCTCCAGGTGAACAAACTGACTGCGTTTAGGTTGAATTCCTCGGCACTGCTCCCCCACTAAAAAGGGGTCTCTCACGAGGCTAAAAGAGGGAGGAATGAGAACCCCTCCTTCATACAAGCTTGGGTTGTCTTACAAATTGCAGCAGTTTTATGACAACTTACTTGAGTTCATGCTTTTAGTTGCCTAGATTGAATAATTTAATTTGTAAAGAATTTTAACTAATACTTCATCTTTTTAGGTATTTCTTTGGTTGAACAATGAACTTTAAGATATATCGTAATTATAGAGAGAGTGTAAAATATAAAGTACTGGGAGAACTGAGAGACATTTTATTTAATGGGGAGGGGGGGAAGCCTTATGCTGTTAGGTTCAAGGGCTTCGTCCGCTCGCTCTTCTGATAAGAACAGTAGGAAAGAATATGCGTGATTGTGGCAAATCTTTAATGCCAGCAGTATTATTGACTGTTCATACGAATCAGTAAAATTGTATTAAATTTGTTTCGTTCTAATTTTGTGTAGGGTTGGATTTGAGGTTTTCACGGCTGTGAGTATGAAGATGACTTGTCTTCTGGGTTGTTACGCCGTGTACTATGATAGAAGTCTGTGTAGAGATTTAAATTTACATTCTGGAGACATTTTATGTAGGGCGAAGATAAATTTTTCAGATTTACATTTGAAAGGGCTGCACGAATTTAGGGAACCTTCACAACATTTGCTTGCAGACAGAGGGCACTGTGGAAAAAAAATGTTCAAAATTGGGTTCCTACCCTCACCCACGTCTCTGATACCAATATCGGTCACTTGGGAAGCAGTTTATGTGAATTTTGGTTTTAAAGAAGTTACAAATTGTTGGTGTTTGTGGTACGCATAGTTACCGCGTCTTATTTCCATCTGTGTCTCTCTTTACCTTCCAAGGGCGAAGATATTATTCCTTCCCCCGTGACAATAACCACAAGACCTTGAGTGAATGGTTATTCTGTGGTGAAGGGACTAGGGTTAACCTTGTATTTCGCCGTGTATCTGTTAGCCAACTGCCTTCGTGCCAGAGTGCGACAGTCCAGGACAGGAGATGGGTGTTCTTCGGCTGTTCCTCTTCACCAAGTGTTTCAGACGACGGTAAGCTTCTGGAGATTGGGAAGGAGTTGCTAAGGACACAGAGTGACAGGCAGTTATTTTTAGACCAGTGGTTTGAATCTAAAACTGACAAAACAGTGGTTTTCCTAGCATATTTGACTTCACTGTAGCCTACAAGTATATTATTGCAAATACGTCGAAATTTGCTTATTTACACTACAAAAATAAAAAGATTTATGAGATATTAAAGTCAAAATGTTCCATGTCAGAACGTTACATATTGAAAAATTTAAAACTAAAAGTTATATCCGAGGTCATATGAAATAATTCAAGATGGGAATTCTCCGTATTTTCGTGTTGGTATTTAAGGGACAGGAACTTGTCTGTAACTGGTTTACTTAGTGAGACTTTGCATTAAAATCCAAGAAATTAGTAGCTAAAAGGAATCAGAAAACTAAAATAATCGCGAGTTACAGGATATTAATTTTTCCACGTGTTCTGATATCCAACTTAACGCCAATTACCGCTGTCCACCGGTTAATAAACACTGCTTTAAACAAATGATGCTCTTTCCCCCCCTCCTAAAAATGGTTTTGAAAAAAACAAGAACTTTCGGGTGACACTTAATTTGTTCGCACTTGACTGTTTTATTTGGGGTCGTATTTTACAATACTTGGTAGAACTTAAATAAAACTGTTTAGTCACTGTAGTGTACCACTTACCTCTTAACTGAGATTTGAAGTGGATAATGTTCTTCTGAGTTCTGGCAACGTGTAAACTCGTCAGTAGACACCGTTTCGGAAAAAGAAACATACTGTCTTCATCTTCAGGGCGAAGTGTTGGGTTGAAGAAATATACGAGGTGCGATCGGAAAGTTTCAAGACTGTGTCAATAGAGGGCGAACCGGATGTAGTACGAGCTTCTGCCGCTAGGGGGTGCGGCCTACATTCATAGTGAATCAGTGTGCCAGCCGGCATCATCGAATTAGCATTTGGTTCTTAGTTACGGGCGTTTTGGTAGTGCATTACACCGACCCTCCTGCGATTTCGGAATGGCGGATTTTCATGAACAAATCAAATTTTGCCAAAGACTCGCCAAAACGGCTAAGGAAACCTATGAAATGCTAAAGCAAACATTTGGGGAGTCCGCAAACCGACGTAGTCCACGTTTATTGGACCTTTGGCTAGGACAGACGAAAACTACAAGTAGCAGAGGCCTTCTTGTGAAGCTGATAGTCGCTCAGTAAAGAAAATTGCTGCCTTGTACACAATCTGAAGGTTCATTACATTGTTTGCAGGAGCTCGCCAAATGTTTCTTTCCTGAGCTAGATGAATCCAGTCCACGCCCTTCCATCCAATTCCTCTAAAATTCATTTTGGAACGATGAATCTACGCCAAGGACTTGTAAGTGGTCTCTTCCTTCAAAGTTTTTCCTACCTAAATTCTTGTACGCATTTCTCATGCGTGCCACATGCCCCGCCAATCTCATAGCTAGTGAAGAATACAAATTGTGACACTCTTATTCAGTGTTCTCCAGCCTCCAGTCACTTTATCCCTTTTAGGTCCAAATATTCTCATCAGTAACCTTAATTGTTAGTATTATCTCTATAATATGAGAGAACAGTGTACAATTTTGGCTTTCGGAGGGAAGTCACGTTTAATGTTCAGAATTATCCGACGTTTCGACAAAAATTACACCTGCCATCTATACAGTGTATGTGTAGTGAGGGAGGAGAGTATGGGATTGAGGAAAATAGGTGACAAGATTATTTAATTTTTTTGAAAATTTGGCGAGGAAACGAGTTGATGAAAGCGTCCCAAAGAAAATAAAAAATCAAAACCTCTTTTCCTCAACCCCATGTTATTGTCCCCTTGGGTAACAGCCCGCTCTTCTAATCCACCAATTGGCACCGTTAGCTCCAACCCGCTACCTAATTACTGCCTGCCCTATTTATGCCCAGCCACTGCATATTCGCCCTGAAGATGGCAACTGAAATGTTCATCGAAACGTTGGATAATTCTCAATATTCGACGCGGCTTATCCCCGAAAGTCGAAGTCAAACGTTTACCGTAAATATCTAAAGGACAAGAAAAGACACCAAGTTTCACACAAAAAAGAGGTAAAATTATAAGAAGAATATTGTTCCAAATATTTGAACTTTACCACAAAGTTTAGGGATTTATAGTACGAGTTGTACTGCAGTCTGGTGACGAGACACGAATCTGTGCTTTAGCGTCTAATAGGGCCTGTGTTTTTCTTTATGGTTTATTAATTAACATCATCAATGCATATTAAGATTCTGGAGTGCAGTTCAGGTGTTGAGAAAATACATAAAAGCGAATACACTGTTTGTATACAAAGAGGTTGTCGAAGTATAACTTAATTATCTACCCAAAAGTCGATACACTCATTTTGAAGTGTCAATTAGACTAAATTAATACTCAGTTTCTGCTGAGTTCTGTTTGTCGACAATGTCTTATTTTGTCTGTGGTCAAGTTTCAAATATCTATCGATAGCAGAAGAGGTTTATGAATGTTCACGACGCCACACAGAGGGCTTCAGATACGTATCTCGTTATCTTGTTCCTAGAGTGGTAAGGTTAGCGCCATTACCTCTTACGCAAGTCCTACATTGTTCATAATTCAATTCTCTAACTCCGTGGAGCAGAATTCCTCTTGAAATGTTGATATTTGCAGCGGAAGCTTTTGTTGTCGTAGTGACATTTTTACTTCACTAATTTACAAAGTTGAGTTCTCTATATGGATGACTGCGTCCAACACATTTTTTTTTTCGGACCAAAACCAAATGCAACTCTCATTGCGCTGTGCAGTTCCATACATAGAGGTGCAAGATTGTGTTGAAAGCTCAAAATAATCCATCATAAAGGATGTGGCTATATTGTCATATATGTATTATTTTTTATTTAGTGTTCTGTCTGACGACAGGTCCATATGAACAGGATCCTTCCATCCTTTTCTCGGACTGGGACCTGTTCATATACATTCTTGGCAGATGATCTAGAAGTGGTTTGCCATTGCCTTCTTCTGTGTGTGAATGGAGTAATTGTTGGGATGCCACGGAGAAACCGGGGAAGCCCCCGGAGGAAAACTCCATGTTTCCTAGACCACGGCCTTGCCCAACACAAGTTATAAATTCGGGCAACGCCGGGAATCTAACCCGAGACCCCAGGATTACAAGGCCAGCGTTCTAACCGCTAGATCACCGTCGTCTCATATATGTATAAGATTTTATAATTTTTTAATTTAAACATTTTAAGTATGCTGTGTTTTTAACAAAATACGAGAAATGAAAGCCATATTTTTTATTTAACTGGCTTGGTTGCGTTAAGGCTTCCTAACTCTGTAGGCCTATGGTGACTTATTCCTAAAAATGTCCCTGCAAACAGATTTTCATTTGCAGAGATTTAACAACAAGATTTTCGAAGACTCCCATTGAACTAATTTAGTTTGGGCAATAGTCTCCGTTCGATCTCCATGGTCCACAATTTTCTACTGAGGTTTCTGTTATAGAGATTCGAATTGTACCGGGGCTTAATGCAGGGACACTTTTAGAAGTTTGAGGATTGCAGGTTCGATTCACAAAGCACGCATAAGCCTGATAACGACAGACTAAATATTAATAATATTGACAAGAAGAAAATATAGATTTCTTGGGATTTTATTCGTGTGTACAAAAAATTAAAAATAACGCGGATACATAAAAGTATATATCGCGGTTGTCAAAATTGGGCACAATGGAAAACCGGAGATACTTGGAATACGCGATTGGCAATCCCCCCGCCATTTGGAAGGGATTTCTGTATAACAAATTAATTAAATTTGTAAAAAAAAGTTCCCGGTTTAACCATAAAACTGCAGAACTGCGTTACATTTTATTCGCAAGGCCTACATGTGATGGTGTTCAAAAGAAGTCAAGGGCACCGTTATTTCATTATAAACGATAATTGTTTCGTAATCTAGTAATCATGGGTCCAGAAAACGTGGGACCCGTCACGCGAAATTGCACAAGGACTCAGACCCTTCTTGGGAGATTATTTAAAATCACGCCCGTACGAAGTCTGGATCTCGTAAGAGGGACTAGTAATTCATTCGTTCACTCCATAGAACAGAATCCTCTGTGAAAAACTGACAGTTTCTTACCATTTCAAGAAATTTCTTGGCATTTATGGGCTCTGGTGGTTCGTTACAGTGTTCACTGTTGCCCACCATTCGAGCTTATGCTGGACCATTTGAATTCAGTCTACACACTGTTTATCTAAGATCTGTTTTAATATTGTTTTCTCAATTTATACCTAGCTCACCAAAGTGGTCTCTTCCGTACAGATTTTTATATTAAAGTTTTGTATGTCTCATCCTCCCTAATTTATAATCGTCTGAATAATTGCTGATGGAGACAGGTTATGAAGTTTCTCGATTTACAACACGATGAGAACCAGAGGAAACAGGTTCATTTCATGACGCTTTGTGAATTGTGACATGGAAGTTCTCGTGGCCTAACCTTAAGGTCGAGATTCGAGCCTACGAGGGGGGAGAGAGAGAGTAGTTAATAAGGGCTGCATGGTTAGTTGAGTCAGTACAGCGACTGACTACGGGCTACATGACAGGGGTTCGACTCCCAATAGGGGCAAAAACCTTTTTATCTTAACCTCCGCGTCCAGTCCAGCTCTGGATCCCACCCATTCTGCTATCCGATGGATACCGAGGGCACCTTTCCCTGAGGGTAAGACGCTCGGGGCGTGAAGCTGACCACTCACATCCATCTTATGCCAAGCCAAAGAATTGGAGCTATACATCCACTACCCCTCATTTATTCACGGCGTGATACGTCATGCCTTTAACTCATGTTGGGTTGGAGGTATAAATCCACGCATTCTTAATTTCGGCACTAGATTGAGTGAGTGAATTGGTCCGTTCGTAGATCCTCCACTTTCTGTGGTACCCAGTGGGTGAATTCAGAACCGGTCTGCAAGCAGCGATGAAGAGACGAATCCGTGTCTGCCTCTGCCCGGAATTGACGGAGGT